TTTTTTTTTTTTTTTTGTAGATGTTTATGATAAATCAAAATAATCTTAATCAAATAGTGTTAATGGTTCTATTTCATTTTTTTCTTAAATTGCATGACAAGGGTCGTTTTTTTTTATCTTTCAGTAAAGTTTAAGAGTAATTGGAAGATCAACTTTTGCATTCTTAATAGTTGGAGGACAAAATTGTGTGTTACGAATAATAGGAGGACCAGATGTCACCTTCTATGTAATTGGAGGACAACTTGCACCTATTTAATAGCTGGAAGACTAACTTGCTCCTCCTGAATAGTTGGATGACCAAATTTAGTGTCTATAAATAGTTGATAAGCTGAATATAAATAGGTGTTTCAGTTTACAACATCATCCAAAAGATTTTCCTCAAGTAGGCGTGTGATTCTATCAAATGATGGAACATATAGCTCTAGATTCTAGTAGTGGTTTATTTTTTTTTGTATGATAAGTTGGTGTGTTGGTATTGCTCGTATCTACCTTCTTCAGACTATAAGTTCATACTCCTCAAAAAATACTCTTATAACCCATTTTTGATCCAATGAATAACAGGCTAAAATATTTCTTTCAAAATTTGCATAAACAGCAACTCAAATATTTGACGCTTTTGCATAGCTTAAAAGATCAGCAGCACTGTGTGTACTACAAAAATTGTCGAATTCAAACCACCCGTTTTGACACCCACTGAATGATCCTAAGTAAGATTAGAATTTGGATTAAATCGCACATCGTAATATTCTTGACCTTTTAATTCTTCAAAAGGTTTGCAATATAACTAGGAATACGTTTTAAATATCACACGTGGATTCTAAGTTCGGATCGCTCTCCACTACGTGTCCTTTGGACCCTTCACCCCTTAACGAGTGGATTCAAACCACCGACACAAGGATTTTCAATCATTTGGTGTAATCAACTGAGCTACCAGAAACTCTTTTCTGAAAGTCTAATTTTTTCATCAAATAACAACTTACTTTACCATACGACTAGTAAGGGAAAAGCGCTTGACTAATATATATTGGCTTAGCTTATTCGTCAAGCTTTCAAGCAGCTCTTGTGTTATTCCTTAATCAAAGTGTGCGTATTAAAGTGCCTCCGTTACATAAGCGAAAGCAATGTGTCACAGTCGAAGAATATCTTTATGAAAGAATGAAAGGGTGCAACACTTCTCAATTTGGGCTTCATATTTATCCTGTACACCGTGTTTATATAGTGGTACGATGTTCCACATGAAACCACGTTGTAAGGACATTATACCAAAGTTGTACATGGAGGACTAAATTGCTGCTATTAAACAATTATAGCTAGGAATAGCTGGAGGACAAATGAGCTTATTTTAAATAGACGGAGAACAAACCCGTAAAAGGGAAGCCCAAATAAACAGCGGACCCAAAATAAAACTCAAACCTAGCCCAAAAGTAAACCCAAAACCAAATTAAAATCCAGCCCAAAGTGCACCCAAACTTAAAGTGAAAATAACACATCAGCCTGTTCTCAAATATGACAATTCAAAAATAAGATACAAGGTTTACTTAACCATAAATCAAGTATTTAATCAAAAGTAAATTATCTTCTCGAGAGGCTGCGCTGACTCGCAATGGTAGTGCATGTTATGGTTGAAGCTTAACTTCA